ACAGCACTGCTGTGTCTGATCCACTCGTACCAGCACAACACACACAAACACACCACCACCACGTCAGTGTTACTGCAGTGCTGAGAATGATCCACCACCCAAATAGTACCTGCTCTGTGAGGGTCCATGGGGGTCCTGACCACTGAAGAACAGGGTAAAAGGGGGCTAACAAAGTATGCAGAGAAACAGATGGACTACAGTCTGTAACTGTAGAACTACAAAGTGCACCTTTATGGTGAAATAGACAGTGAGTGAATACGAGGATGTGGCCAGTGCGTGTATGTGTACATATAATTGATAAATGAAAATTGTGTAACGTAAAATAGTTCAGAATATTGAATACATATATAGATAACTAGAGGACAGGGTGGCTCCAGATAGACAGTTATAAACAAGCAGATATAACTGAACTGCTGCTCCGGCTATTTCTGTTACTGAACTGAAACAGAGGGTATTGTTTTGTCTTCAGCTGTTCCTGAAGGCTTTTATTTCTGTGTAATGATACAGTTTGTATTCATTTCATCACTTATATACAGAAGACACATCCTCTACTGAGAACTCACACTGTTAGAAATAAAGGTTCTGTGCAGGTCCTTTTTTCGTCCATCAAGGTACAAACAGTGTAAATGTTCTCTCAAAGGTACAACAGTGGTTTTAAGGTCCAGTTGTGAACCTTAAATATGTTTTTCCAGGTGAAAAGTTCGTATTTGTACCTTTTCATAACTGAATGTTTAAAAACAGAACAGTAAAATAAAAGCCTGGAGACGAGACGGGGGTGTGTGGAGTCAGTACAGCTTAGAAACATATCATTTCAGTGGATTATGGTACAGTTATGTTCCCTGACTAAAGATACTGAGATGGAGCCTTGAGGGTACCACCCCAGTGTCAAGAGGGGTCCTGCCCCAGTGACAGTTTAGGACCTTTATTTCTGAGAACTCACTTCTGCACGTTTTAAGGCGCAATTACTGTTTATTTGCTGAATTTAACATTTTGGGGGGAAAAAAACAGAAATGTGGGCTGTGCAAAAGTTATGGCACATTTAATATTTATTAATTAATATTTTTTTAAGTTTGTTCTGTCTATAACAGCTCAAAAATAGAACAATTTGGAGAGAATGTTAGAAATATTTTCACAATTTCACACGAAATATGACACTAACAAAGAAGAAAAATAAAGAAAATGTAAATCTACACACTAAAAAATGATGGTTCTTCAGGGCCTCTTTAGTAAAGCAAATGGTTCTATATAGAACCATGAGCACTCAAAGAGCCCTCTGTGTGATTAAAGAGTTCTTTGTATTGTGATATGGTTCTTCAGATTGATGGAGAAAGTGCTATAGATGGTTCTACATAGCACCAAGGGGGTTCTTCTATTGTAACAAACTTGACATCACAACAATAGAAGAACCCTGTTTGGTGCTATATAGAACTCTTTTCAAGAAGGTTCTCCATCAACCTAAAGAACCTTTTCATGAGGCCCAGAACCCTTTAAAGTGTTGTTTGAGTGCTCATGGTTCTATATAGAATCACTTCGCTTACTAAAGGACCCTTAACAACCATCATTGTAAGTGTGTAGAATCCACACTCTTATAGATCATCTCCATTTACAAGACCATAAAAGGAGAAAATAAAAGGAAAAAGGTAAAAAAAAATTAAAGAAAAAATGAAGAAAAGTACAAAATGATCTCAACATATCAGGATAGGAGAGAGTGAGAGAGAGAAAGAGGAAGCACCTTCAGATACACTGATAAAAATATGCTTACAGTTTCCAGTTTATTGTTACAGTAAAGCTGGAACAGATTTAAAGATTGTCATTAACCCAAAGATGTATTATTCAGTAAGTATGAATGTGTTATGTAGTTATGAGAGTGAGGACCCTTAGAGTTGAAGGGGTTAACTCTTGGTGACTGAGCACAATATCACTGTGAAATGTCAATATGAGTGCGTGAAGAGCTCTCTGCTACCGTCACGCCCTCCGAGGCGAATGATCTCAGAAAGTATCAGATGATCCTGAACAGCCATTAAGAGTGGTTTGATGTGAATTGTTTATATGAAATGTGCTGCAGAAAAGCTTACCGAGTTTGAATTGTTCTCAGTGGCAGTGATGAGAACCAGATATCTGAGGAGGTTAATGGCTCTAAAAGCCAGAAAGGTATTACATGTCGTGGTTATGAATATGTTGGCTGATGTCTGAGACGTTGTTTTAATCAGTTTTGAAATAAAGTTTTTGGGCTCAAACGCATATTTAACCCTTGTGTGGTGTTGATGTGTTTGTTACTCAGTGGTCTGCTGGACCCACATTATTGTTTTCTAATCAATACAGCCATAACAATTTATGTAAAAACACCAGATGTTTATATATATATATATATACTATATTTCCAAAAGTATTCGTTCGTCTGCCTTCACACGCAAATGAACTTGAGTGGCATCCCATTCTTAATCCATAGGGTTTAATATGATGTCGGCCCACCCTTTGCAGCTATAACAGCTTCAACTCTTCTGGGAAGGCTTTCCACAAGGGTTAGGAGTGTATTTATGGGAATTTTTGACCATTCTTCCAGAAGCGCATTTGTGAGGTCAGACACTGATGTTGGACGAGAAGGCCTGGCTCACAGTCTCTGCTCTAATTCATCCCAGAGGTGTTCTTTTGGGTTGAGGTCAGTCAAGTTCTTCCACACCAAACTCGCTCATCCATGTCTTTATGGACCTTGCTTTGTGGACTGGTGTGCAGTCATGTTGGAACAGGAAGGGGCCGTCCCCAAACTGTCCCCACAAAGTTGGGAGCATGAAATTGTCCAAAATCTCTTGGTCTGCTGAAGCATTAAGAGTTCCTTTCACTGGAACTAAGGGGCCGAGCCCAACTCCTGAAAAACAACCCCACACCATGATCCCCCCTCCACCAAACTTTACACTTGGCACAATGTAGTCAGACAAGTACCGTTCTCCTGGCAACCGCCAAACCCAGACTCGTCTATCGGATTGGCAGACGGAGAAGCGTGATTGGTCACTCCAGAGAACACGTCTCCACTGCTCTAGAGTCCAGTGGCGGCGCTTTACACCACTGCATTTGACGCTTTGCATTGCGCTTGGTAATGTAAGGCTTGGGTGCAGCTGCTCGGCCATGGATACCCATTCCATGAAGCTCTCTATGCTGTTCTTGAGCTAATCTGAAGGCCATATGACGTTTGGAGGTCTGTAGCAATTGACTCTGCAGAAAGTTGGCGACCTCTGCACACTATGCGCCTCGTCATCCGCTGACCCCGCGCTGTCATTTTACGTGGCCGACCACTTCGTGGTTGAGTTGCTGTCGTTCCCAATCGCTTCCACTCTGTTATAACACCACTGACAGTTGACTGAGGAATATTTAGTAGCGAGGAAATTTCACAACTGGACTTGTTGCACAGGTGGCATCCTATCACGGTACCACGCTGGAATTCACTGACCTCCTGAGAGTGACCCATTCTTTCACTAATGTCTGTAGAAGCAGTCTGCAGGCCTAGGTGCTTGGTTTTATACACCTGTGGCCATGGAAGTGATTGGAACACCTGAATTCAATGATTTGGATGAGTGAGTGAATACCTTTGGCAATATATATATATATATATATATATATATATATATATATTCAGATATGAATATATATATGATGGTGGTTTTGGATAGTAAATAAAATGGCTATAATAGCACTGTAGACATTGTAACTTCAGGTTCCATCTGAATGTAAATCTGAGTCAGTAAGTGTCTGTGTTAAACAGGTGGAGAGATGGTTTATCAGCAGCAGCTCAGATCATCAAATAACAGAAACAGAGAACTACAACACACATACCATAAACCTCATAAAGACAAAGAAGTGCACTCAAAAATTCACTTTTTATTCCAAAAAGACGAAAAAGATGGTTCTTCAAGGGTTCTTTAGTAAAGACAATGGTTCTATATAGAACCATGAACACTCAAAGAACCCTTTCCATGTTTCAATAGTTCTTGGCATGAAGAAAAGTTTATCAGATTGAAGGAGAATGTGTTATATATGGTTCTGTATAGCACCAAATGGGTTCTACTATTGCAGGGGTCGCAACCCAAATATTAAGAAGAGACATTTTTTCATTTTAACAAAAATTAATCCGCCTTGGGAGCCACAATATTCTATGTCCATTTTACCATCTCGGGTGTAAATATGTCTCAGTATGTGCTGATGTGTTAGTATAGATTTAAAAATGCAGTTTTAATGCAGTTTTGCACTCTGGATCATTCTCTCAAGCAGTTTTATAAGAAGCCACCCGAGATGCTTTTCCAACACACTTGAAGAAGCTGGCAAAGCAGTTTTGTTCTTATTTGTTTCAATATTGTTGTGAGGGCTTGATTGTATTCAGCCATAACAGCATTAGTGAGACCATTTACTGGTGCTGTATGATTAGTCCTGGACCAGAAATGCCACTTCAACTCATTCCAAAGGTGTGAAATGGTGCTCTGTTACTCCAGAAACTGCAGCTCCACTACTCCACAGCCTACTGCTGGGAGTTTTATACCCCTCTTGATGATGCTTGGTACTGGGCATGGTGACCTTAGGCTCATAATAGGCTGTTCCAGAGTGTTCTACTCTATTGGCTATGGAGTTTATACAAGCACCTTAAAATGATCTCATTAATTAGAAAGTGTGTCTGGTTGTTAGATCAGTTAGGTTTATTCATTTCAAAGCAAAAACATTTTACAGATATTTTCAAAATTGTGATTGAACAGAGAAAAAAAACTAAATAAGATATATATATATATATAATTTATATATATATATAATATATATATATAAATTTATATATATATATATATATATATATATATATATAAAACAAATAAAACGTTAATAAACAGCTAACTATATAACAAAGTGTAAAAACGAAGAGTCATTGTGAATTTATGTAAGAAGCCCCGCCCCCAAGCCGTGTGTTTACCATTTTCTGTGTTCTGATTGGCTGTTGTCGTTGGTTATTCAACGCGGTTCTTACACAAGTGGGCGGGGCAGGAAAGAACAGCAGAGCAGCGGTGTGTTCTGGGACACAAACACACGAAACTGTGGAAAATACAGAGAAATGTCGACCTTGAATTTAGCCAAATTAGGTTCTAACCTGCTGAAAAGCGCCACATCTGGGGAGGTAAGTAGCTCTGAAATGGATCCGGGGGGCTGAAGAGCTGTTCGAGGGGGCTGTGACCAGCTCACACGTTAACAGTTGATACTGTGTTTTTACTGTCAGCTAAACGCAAATGAATCAGTGGCGTGACTAATACAAGTAAATGATATAAACTGTACTACGTTACACTGGAAAGCAGGGATTTCACGTTGTCTTCAGCGTTAGTCTTGTGTTATGTTCCGTCGGATGTGTCTCTGTTGTGTCAGCTCACCACGTTTTACTGTCTTTATGCTTCTCTGTGCTGCTGCACAGTTTGTGTTGGTCATCCTCTAGTCCTTCATCAGTGGTCACAGGACGCTGCCCACAGGACGCTGTTGGCTGGAAATTGTTGGTTGGTGGACTATTCTCAGTCCAGCAGTGACACTGAGGTGTTCAAAAACTCCAGCAGCACTGCTGTGTCTGATCCACTCAGACCAGCACAACACACTAACACACCACCACCTCGTCAGTGTTACTGCAGTGCTGAGAGTGATCCACTACCACCTGCTCTGTGTTGGTCCTGACCATAGAAGATCAGGGTGAAAGGGGTCACTTATATAGTAAGTGGACAGTGAGCATAGAAACAAGGAGCTGGTTTGAATGAAGTGGCTGGTCGGTGTAAGTTTCCGTAGTAAGACGTCATGCTGGACTGGTACATAACTGGTTACTGTCTCTGTGGAGTTTCTATGGGTGTAACGATTCACAACGTTCATGATTCCGTTCAATTTGATGTCATGTTCTATAATATGTTAATATGTAATGTTTCCATTTTTCCAGCTCATCGGCGCGTTTAACGTTACAGAAGTCAAGCATAGCTCAGTATTTCAGACCACAGATCTGGAGATCTGCTTAATCCATTCAGATTGGTTTCTTATCCGCATTAACATTATAATGATATGCTAAGAAAAGTGGATTGTTTACCAGTAGTACCAAAATATCACACTGACAGTAAAATATTGTCATATTGTTCAACTCTAGCCTCCGATTTCAAAAGCCACAAGCTAATGTTAGCCCCAGACTACACAAACGCCACAATATAGTGATACATAATGTACATAATGTACAATACAGTACAGTGTACAGCCTAATTCTGGAACCATAGTCTTAAGGGTTTAAGGGGTTAAAACTGATTCAGGATGTAAGCAGCAAAATAAGAATAATAAGTTGTTATTATTTTTTGGTCCTGGGATGTGCCGTGTCGTATCACAGAACTATTTCCTTTTGGCTTTCATATTGTGAAGCAAAGAGAGATGTATGAATTCATCAATAGCCTCTCTGCTCATGTTTTTCCACTCAGAATGTGGAGCTTGGCTCTTTGTGGCAGGATCAGACAGCAGTGATCTTCTTCCTCCGCCGGTTTGGCTGCCAGATCTGCCGCTGGACCGCTGCTGAGGTCAGTAAGCTGGAGAAGGACCTGAACGCTAGCGGAGTAGCCCTCATAGGTGTCGGACCTGAGGAGACGGGGCTGAAAGAGTTTAAGGAAGGAGGTTTCTTCAAGGGAGGTGAGTGTAGGCCTTTTCAACACATCTGAACGGAGCTTGTTTTCCAAATCCCTGGAATTTTCTGGTTTTGTAACCTTACGTTTGGTCTTTTGTTCGTCGGTGGTGTTTTATGACCCGCTGTCATGCTTACACAACCTAGTGTCACCTTTGGAAGTAATAAAGGGGTTGTGAAATACCCACCTGATGTATGTATAGCAGTAACATGGTTGAGATAAACTGCTGGGAGACCAATTAAGCACGGCAACATTTTTCAACCTAATCTCTACCTCATCTGTAGCATCTGTAGTTATATGGTCGATTACCTTGGGCAATAACTTTGACACATTTCCTTGAATTTAGAAAACAACAGAAAACTAACTAACTAACAACACACTGAGGGTGTTTACGTGCACTTAATAATCCGATAACTGCAGAAAATCAGATTTTGGCAGTAATCTCATCATCACGTTTACATGCTCTTGAGTAATCAGATAGTGGGGAAACTCCAGGTCTACAAGAGTCAGACAGTTATCAGATTTCTGGTTTGCAACCAGCCAATAAACTCACAGAAGAAGACGAGACGGAAACGACCAGATGCTACATATACACTCTAAAAAAAGATGATTCTTCAAGGGTTCTTTAGGAAAGAAAATGGTTCTACATAGAACCCTGAACACTGAAAGAACCCTTTGCACGATTAAGGATTCTTTGCATCATAAACATGGTGAAATGGTTCTTCAGATTGATGTGGTTTAATAAAGAACCTTTTTGAAAAGAGTTCTTTATATCACCAAAAAGGGTGCTATGACATTTTAACAACAGAAGAACCTTTTTTGTGCTATAAAGAACCTTTTTTAAAAAAGGCTCTATACATAGAACCATCTGTAACACATTCTCTATCAATCTGAAGAACCGTTTCACCATGTTTATGATGCAAAGAACTCTTAATCATGTAGAGGGTTCTTTGAGTGTTCAGTGTTCTATGTAGAACCGTTTACTATAGAACCCTTGAAGAACCATATTTTAAGAGTGTGGAGACAGATAACAGACATTAGGTTGAAAAACACTGGCACATTCCTTTAAACATGATGGAGCCTGACTTGTTTTTTCCTTTCTATTTCAGACATTTACATAGATGAGAAGAAACAGTGCTACAGGGACCTGGGATTCAAAAGGTATGAAAGTGAAACACACCACAGATCTCACACAAAACAAACTTAAAAGTGACAGTTTGGCTAAACGTTGAATTTACGGTTTTTCCCTTGCCCCCAGTGTAGTCGATCAGCCACAACATGTTTGGTGTATGAAGTTTGCTGTATTAGTTTTGCACTTCAGCCAGTACTATAGACTTGCAGCTCCAGTGCAAAACTAAAGACGAAACGTCTGACACCAAATATGTCTGGCTGATATAACGAAAGATGCTTGGAAATACAGCAAACTGGTAGCGGCACTGTCCAAAGAAAATACTGCATCTTCGTTCTTAACTGTACAAAAGTAGAAAACATCTTCACTCAGTAGAGATACAGGGTTTTAAATATAAGATATAAAAGATATGTGACATTGTGGCGTGTCGTTATCTTTATGATCCTTAGTGAATGAGGAATGAGTTTATACATGACCTTTGCTTTTGCATCTTTTCTGAAATTGAAAGGTGGTTTTCCTTCTCCTCACAGATATAATGCCATCAATGTGTTCCCTGCTGCTCTGGGGAAAAAAGTACGAGAAATTGCCTCAAAGGTAATAAAAGTCATGTATGTTTTTGATTAATAACAGGTCTTAGTCCCCAAAGCCCTTGAACTACAAATATATCATGTGTTAGAAATGCATTTCACTGCCTTTTTTTCATACAGGCAAGCGCTGATGGAATTCAGGGCAACTTCAGTGGCGACCTTTTGCAAAGCGGTGGAATGCTGATTGTAGCCAAAGGTAAAAAACATCACACAGACCTAAATACTAATGGGTCATTCTACGGAAACGTCCACTTTTCTGTCTGTCCATAGGAGTCACTGGTGTGACTGATCCTCATTGGTGTTACAGATAATAAAGTAAACACCAGAGACATTTTAATGAACAATGCATTTTACAGAATGGCTGCTACAGAACATCAAACCACATGTTGTCAGTCATGGAATATCCACTAAAATATGTAATTTAATCCATTTGTATTCTATTTTTTCACAATTACCTCAGAATAAAGTCGGTCACACCAGTGACTTCGGCTAAAAGCTTCATATGAAATCATGAGCTAAATGAGAAAATCTCTGATAACTGAAAGACACAGTGGACTCACCATGTGCTTTTCTTCATAGATCCTCAGAAAACAGGTAAAAGGAAGCAAAGTGATGTCATCAGTGTGAATTTTATTTCAAAATAAGAGATTTTTTGTTATGCGGTAACACCAGTGACACGACTCCTGGGGACCACAACATTCATTATATATTTTATAATATTTATTTGGCATTTGTGTTCTTTATGTCACTTAAATCGTATATTACATAGTCATGTATAGATTATTGTAGTTAAAATAATGTTTTTTTCTTCAAAATATGGCCTCACCCTTCACACATGACTGTGGGGACGAGCTCTTCTGTGGTTCGGGGAATTCTATATAATTGATTTAAAAGCCAATATTGCTAAATTGAGGCTCAAGAAGGTGTAATTGTTAAAATAACTTATTATTTTATTTTAAAATATAAATAAATTGTAACCCTAACGTTTTTTTAAGTGTAATATATCTGTAAATGCTAGGGACAGAAAAATGGACGTTTCTGTTGAATGACCCTACTACAGAATGTGACACAGGGCAGGTCTGTTCTGTTTTATACATGATGATTTCACAAAATTTCATAAAGATGTGTTTAAAAGAAGCTTCTTTTTTAATGTGTGGTAATCTTAGCTATATTAGAAATAGCAGATTAATCCATCATTCAAATCAATCAACCTTATTTAACCTCGGAGAACATTGAGGGTGACCCTCATTTACAATGTTGCCGAGTTGATACAGGAAAAGGGACTGATATTGTATAAGAACATATCAAATAATAAAGGTAAATTTAATAAAAAAATGACTCGAATCAGGTAAGTATAAAAAAAGAAACATTAATAATAAAAATACAGTAGAAAATATAAAACAGTAATAAAAACAGTTAAAATGTAAAAGTTAGTAAAATCAAAGGAAGGTGAATAAAACAAAAGGAGGATCAGATTAAAAAGGAAACTAAAAATGAATTGTCTAATTAAAACAAGAATAATAATAATAAATAAATAAACAAATAAATAAACAAATAAATCATGAAAATAAGACAATAATAGTAAAAAATCAGGTAAAACAGAAGCAGGCGGCGTGGGGGTGGTTAGAGAGTAAGAGATTAAAGTGACTGAGTGACCCATTGAGCTGAGCTCTAGTGTTTCCAGTAGTGAGTTCCAGCTCGCTGGTGCTCTGGAACTAAAGGCAGATTTTCCCAGTTCAGTAAAAACTCTCGGTACCTGCCATGTGATCCAACCACTGGAGCGAGTTATCGAGAGCTGTTGTAGCAGGAATGCCACATTATTGAACGAAGTACACATACTTAGCTTTAACATTTTACTATGTTATGGTTTTAGGTGGTGATCACTGTAGTTACAAGTTGAGATACAACAAATAAGTAGCCTGTGTTTTTGTGAGTCATGTGTATCTGTCACTAGAGGGCAGTATGGCTTCATTAGTGTTCATTAGTGTGGCTTCACTATGACCCTCTGCTAAGGTGGTGAGAAGGTCCTTCTGCATTTCATCCAAGACTCTCCAGGAGACCATGTGCCACTTGAGGACATCACCAAAGCTCTGGGTATCACTGCCAGTGTCCAAGCTGGAGTGAGACCACAGGTGAGATCAGAAGAATAATGGCATAAAGTGGGAAGAGTGCCTTGGTGATTCATTTACCTTCTTATTTGTAAATTTAAATAACCCTTATTATTTTTCTTCCATCCATTCTGTTTCTCCCCTACTTGCTGTAAAAACTTGTTTTCTAAATTAACACAAATTTTACTTTGATTTATTTACAGAAACTTGGTTGTTTTCAGGAAAGGTGTATGGAGGCGTTTGATAGCAGTTTCATGTTTCATTTCAAAATGATCGTTTAATTCTTGAATGTGCGTCAGTCCATGCCAGCTCACCTAGGGCCTGTCTGGTCTCAAGGCATTTAAAAATAAAGCAAAACTTCAATTTAATTCATTCAGCCATGCAAAATTTAAAACCTGTGCTCCAATCAGTTTTTTAGTTATGAGTTTTTGAAGTTCACCCCATCATGTTTTAAACTGCTTTTAAATATTGTGCTTAGCTCCTAACAGAATGACTAAACTGAGCTGAAATATTAACTCTGTATAAATACCACACTGAGTGATCTCGCTGTGTTTTATGTAGTATTCCTACATTTCAGTCAAACCTATGATATATTTTCTAATCCTATTTTTCCTAAATAAGTTCAGTTATGTCTGATAAACATACATCAGATAAAACAATTGCAGATGTGCTCCTGCTCCTCCATGGTTTAATATTTTTATGAACATGGCATATCTGACTAAGAAACACAATGTAAACAAATAGTAAGACTGAAAATAGATAAAACACTGGATTTCCAAATTAACCTACATAATGCTCCAGAAAGTATGTATCCTTTCTTGACAGCTAATCTGTTTTTCTATTTCTTGTTGCTGGGAAATCTGTTATGTGCAGAATCTCTTACAGAGTCAGCCAAAGTGCATCCTGCCTTGTTGGTCATCAGGAAAAAGTTTAAAGAGGATAAGATTAGTCCCTTCTAAGGAAGCACAGTGTTAAAAGTGTGGGCGGACCTGTACGATTCCCTGGTAAAAATGGAAAAATTACATTGATTTTATAGTAGACATTCACATCAGACTGCATGGATGAGTTTAGTCTGTTTCAACTTGCAGCGAAATTCTTACATGGACCATTCGGAGACTCTTGAAATTTGTTAATCACTGTTACAACAGTCAACAGGTAATTAATAACCAACATACAACAGTGCAGGGAACATTTAAGTGGGGTTCTTATTGTAATAAACAATGCTGAAAGTTTTGGTCTTGGCCTCAATGATCCACAGAAATAGTATATTATGTCCAGCATGAGATTAAAAGCCCTGAAACATTTTCAGCCGTATGATATTGAATTCTTTCTACTTATAATATTTTTACAGAAGTACAAAGGTCAGAAAAAGGCCTTTTGTTCTCATCTATCGGGCTTATAAAACTCTAAGAACAGCTGTATGAACTGGATTTATTTCTCAGAATATGTGCACTATTTTCTGCAGCATTTGCCTTTAATGATGCAATTTAAACGCAATGAATTGGTTGTCTGTAGTTATCAACTGAGCATCTTCAATCTTTAAAAGTTTTTTTCTGTACTATCAACCAGCATAATGATAGTTGGGTGGGGAATTCCATGGCAATGGTCCCTCTGATACTGGAAGAGTGCACAACTGAATACTTAAAAAGCTCAGATTTTCCCTCAGCAACTATTTCTGTCTCCTACGTCAGCTATTAATGGGTCTTTTGTTGTGGGTGTGCAGTTTATCACCTCATACTGTTTGATGTGAGTTCTAGATGTGTGTAAACTGTATGCAGTGAAGGATATTTTTTGACCACCTCTTTGTTTCTACGCTCATTGTCCATTTTATCAGCTCCGCTTACTATATAGGTGCACTTTGTAGTTCTACAATTACAGACTGTAGTCCATCTGTTAGATACTTTGTTAGACCCCTTTTACCCTGTTCTTCAGTGCTCAGGACCCCCATGGACCCTCACAGAGCAGGTACTATTTGGGTGGTGGATCATTCTCAGCACTGCAGTAACACTGACGTGGTGGTGGTGTGTTAGTGTGTGTTGTGCTGGTACGAGCGGATCAGGAGTTTTTAAACTCCTGTGTCCACTCACTGTCCACTCTATTAGACACTCAGACCTTGTCAGTCCACCTTGTAGATGTGAAGTCAGAGACGATAGCTCATCTGCTGCTGCACAGTTTGTGTTGGTCATCCTCTAGTCCTTCATCAGTGGTCATGGGACGCTGCCCACAGGACGCTGTTGGCTGGATATTTTTGGTTGGTGGACTATTCTCAGTCCAGCAGTGACACTGAGGTGTTCAAAAACTCCAGCAGCACTGCTGTGTCTGATCCACTCAGACCAGCACAACACTCACTAACACACCACCACATCAGGCTGCTGCTACTGTTTTAGCATTGCTTATTTATAGCTATATTAGACGCATAGATCCAAACTAAAGCAGCAAACTTTAGACACCAAACACGTCTTGACTGCTCAACTATATTTGGGGTAAGGGGGAAAGAGTGTAATTAGGGCTTGGGAATGTGATGTCATGACACAGTGTCTTATGGATGAAATACTATTTGGCCAGATTTGGAGGTCATCTAGGTTGGTTCTGAGTAGTGGAATGTCCTTTCCTACCTGCTTTACTTGATTTTACCTGGTCTGTAGCCCATGGACTCACTAAATACACAGGCACAGCTGATTAGCATTTGGATTCAGATCAGGCAGAATCAGAGAGCAGACAGGACAGAAAGTTTTGTTCAGTCCTGAAGGCGCAGTCCTCGGCAAATAGCACAGAGGAAGCATTGCAGTAAGAGTGGTGATAAACATGAAGCGCAAGATAAAACTTTCAGCATAATTTTGTGAACTTTGATCAGACTTTTGTATCAGCTAACTAGCTCTAAAAGGGATGAGGTGAAGTAAGGTATGATATGGCTGGGCTAGCAACTTCAGCTGAGGTGAAAACAGACCCTTAGGCCCAGTCCCACTTCACCCCTCGCCCCTACCACTTAGCCCTCAGCCCTCTGTTTTGTGAGTTCACGTCTAGGGTGTCTCAATTTTTGTAGAGATAGACGGGTAGGGCGAAGTGTTAGGGCTACATGGCCCTCCAGAGGTTTTTCAGAGACTCCAAACAGAGAGTAATGAAAAAGAAAGAACAACCGGCAAGATGGCTGAACAAGAGACCAAAGAAACCCACAAATGTGAGAATTCTCTTCGTTAAAAAGTTACGATAATCATTGTATTATTTTAGGTAAATGTCGTTTCAATGTATTATGGTCGTTTTCTTCGTGACAAGCATAAAAAAAAAATGCTAAAGTATGCTAATGTCTCAGGAGCTAGTTAGCTAATTTTCCTGTTCCACCTTAAGTAGTCCAGCAATTCTGACGCCTGAAGCGCCAGAATGTAACTGCTGCACCATTTAAGGTGGAACAGGAAAATTCGAACAAGAGGGGTGGGCAAAAATAAATAATTGTCTTATACCCCCTCTTTGAAGGCATATGATGCCCTAAATGTATCTAAGGCCCAGCAGCGAGGAGCTGAACTTTACCCTCCTCTGCTATCACTGAAATCGGGCAGGGTCACCTACAGAGCACTGCTAGTAGCTGTTAATGAAGCAGTGTTTTTTTTCTTTTTTTTTAATTTGAGGGTCCCATTTCGTAGGGTAAGATTTCAACCACTACCTATTGTAACTCCTTTCCAAGGGGTTAGGGTGACACTCGAAAACAAGGTATAGGGGTAAAAAGAAGAAATGGGATTGGGCCTTAAAATGTGTCTGTTTGTCTTGTTCTCCAGGGTATATTTTGGTTTGTCCATCTGAATTTACATGACCATATCGTGAGGCAAATTATTCAGTAACTGCATGAAATGAATGTAAATCTTTATTTTATTTATTTATTTTTTTGTAAAAGCCCCCCTCAAATTAACAGAACATGTTTTTTATGATCATACACATATTGCTGTATGCTTACAATTTACTGCTGAAAGCCAAAAATCTTTTTATTTTTTCGATCTTTGTATTTTTTATAAAAATAATTTTTACAGAGCAGATCACTGAAGAGACACCATATGGGATTTATAGCTAAGATTTGTGGAAAATTGGGTCGACTTTCAGTAGAAAAAAAAAGTGAGTTCAGCTTCTTTTATTATAAGGGTTTAAAATTACATCACCCATCTATTTGACTGGAAAGAAGACACAGCTCTCATACGACACCCACCTTTTGAATGTCACTTATGAAATATGAAAGTTATGAAGAATATGACAAAGTGCGTTTTGGAACCACCGGCGGTCTCAAGGAGTTAAAAAGGTTAATGACTTTAGATTGGCTGACCTTTCTGTGTAAACTTTAAGCCACATGTGATCTACTATGGATTTTTGGATTTTAGTTCCCCATTTAGTCAGGCTGTCAGTGTTGGCTGAAAGGCTATTTACAATGAAATCTGCCAGTAGCTGAGCACAATATTGCCTATAACTGTGTTAAACCTGCCACAGGCAGGTGTAAGTCTGAGAATGAAAGAGGAGGTAGCATATCCAGATCATCATGTTATTCCATTCATTGTTTGGGAGTTTGTATGTAATCCTGTAATGCAGCGCAGCATAACATTGATTCCCAAGCCTTCTTTGATTTTCAAAGGTAAAGATTTTGTAATAAAAAGTAAACTGCACTAGATGGATTTGAGGTTTGCTTTTTGGGTCATTCTACAGAAACGTCCACTTTTCTATCTCTATAGGAGTCACTGGTGTTACCAATCCTCATTGGTGTTACAAATAATAAAGGAAACACCAGAGACATTTTTAATGAAAAATGCATTTTACAGAATGGCTGCTACAGAGCATCAAACCACATGTTGTCAGTCATGGAATATCCACTAAAATATGTAATTTAATCCATTTGTATTCTATTGTTTTCACAATTACCTCAGAATAAAGTCGGTCACACCAGTGACTTCGGCTAAAAGCTTCATATGAAATCATGGGCTAAATGAGAAAATCTCTGATAACTGAAAGACGCACTGGACTCACCATGTGCTTTTCTTGATAGATCCTCAGAAAATAGGGAAAAGGAAGTCAAGTGATGTCATCACTGTGACTTTTATTTCAAAATAAGAGATTTTTTTGTTATGGGGTAACACCAGTGACACGACTCCTGGGGACCACAACTTTGATTATATAATATTTATTTGGCTTTTTTTCTTTGTCATTTAATTCATATATTTCATAGTCATGTATAGATTATTGCAGTTAAATTATTGGAGAAAAACACCTCAAAATTTGGCCTCACCCTTCACACATGACTGTGGAGACAAGCACTTTTGTGGTGCTTGGAATTCTATATAACTGTTTTATTTTAAAATATAAATAAATTGTAACCCTAAAGTTTTTTTTTTAGTGTAATATATCTGTAAGCGCTAGGGACACAAAAATGGACGTTTCTGTAGAGTTCCCTCATGAACCATTAGAAATGTTGTTCTGAACTGTTTCAGTCTTAGTTTTGTGGTCAGACATTGTGAAATTTTGATTTGAAGTTGCATTTTTGTCCCTAATGAATCATTTTTCTGTATGTTTTTCAAAACGTTTTCAGTTTTAGTATCTTGTGGTACTGCAGACATTCCGAGTAAATACCACTTCAAGGCTTTCGTGTTCCCTTATGGGTTCCATGTATGGACACTGCTGAATGGGGTTTTTCGATAACAATCAGAGGAACATTCTGGTTTATTTTTCTGGTGGTTGAGGTTAACAGGTCAGTGGGCCCTTGACAGCATCTTTGATCTAAAATTGTATGACGACGATACTTTACTTATTTAAGCTCTATAGCACACATTTCTGCAGTCAGTAGAAACTCAGTTGCTGTTGTAGATGTTGGACGCTGCAAATACAAGCACTTCGGCTTGACTTTATTAGAATGAACGTCTACTGAATGATACTGAAATCTTTCCAAAATTGAAAGAAAAGCTACAGTATTGGGCAAAAATCTTTTGTTTCTTTAATTTTCAGTCAAAATGGCCATTAAGAACAAGTTATTCATTTTTCACTGTCAGAAAAAAGCAGAGTCTGCAGAGATATCACTCCACTCTTACTTCAGATTGGAAAAAATCCAATGTTCTCTTTGTCCATCCTTTCACAACTGAGATGTGGAGTTTGGGATTCCTTGTGAGAAGCAGAAAATGCAACCAACTTCTAAGACTAGGCAGAAAAAGATACATCTAGTTGTTGAGGCTTTGTCTAATTTTCTATTAAACATTTTTTTACTTTTTTGACACTGAAAATGCATAATATGTACAACTTTTCGACTGGAAATAAAATACATGAAAGGGTGAACTTATGCACAGTACTGTGCAGATGAGAATATTTGACGTCCACTGTAATGTTTTAAGTTTAAAAGAGTTTTTAAAAATTACAGCCTTGCCAAAAATGACTTTTTGGTGCACTTCAAAATTTCAGGGTAGTCGAAGACTCGTTTGAAGGCTTTTATCTGAAAGCTGCCCAGCTCAAACAGTATTACTGAGGTGGAGAAAAGGCGCCGATACAACAGTTTGATAATGTTCTCAATGTGTTTCGTACTCGTATGTTTTATGATTACATACAGCGTGGTGACCTAACATGCAGACACATGAAGCTTTTTGTGTGTGTGTGGTAACACATCCGCCTGTTGACGAACTAGACGCTTCATTCCGTGTAAACACTGTGTCACTCAGAAAGCCCTATCTTAGAGCAAATCAGCAGTAACGGATCTCCCCCTGACCCTGCTCTGACACTCGTGGCCTCCCTGGAGCCTGGAGCCCCTTGGGAACACTCAATATATTCCCACCCCGTCCTGCAGGAAGGAAAGGGCCCACACAGTCTAGACCAGGGGTACAGTCTGGTGATTTCCCTGCTGTAACACAAAATAAAATAAACTATAGTTAGCAAATGCGTTAAGTCAGGTGTGTCAACTTGTTTGATATCTAATCCCCCTAGAAATATAGGGGGGTGAGAATTACTCTCTAGTAAGAAGTAAAATGGACGAGCTTACCTAAAAGAGGGTACCAACAAGAAAGGTTGGCAATAATTTGGTTTCCAACCAAACAAAGCAGAGAACCACTGGATATTAACAGTGTTAGGTGTCATCTATGCAGAAGCAAGCCCAGTTGGCAATTATATGGTAATTATCTTACCATATATTATAAGTTATAGGGCAGGGGTTCACAACTATGGTACTGATGGGCTGATGTCCAGCACAAGTTTGTGGTCCCCTACTCAAACATCCCTGCTAAACCTGGCAATTATTAGATTAGTTGAATCAGAGGTGTTTTAGTAGGAAAATCACCAAACTGGGCTGCTGTAAATTTAAATTTACACACATTGTCCAAGCTTAGCTGTAACATTATTACTACTCCCATAAACTAAAAACAATCAACTCTATAGCCTGCTGGATGCAACCTTGGACAACATCCTCAGCTTGAGGTCTGTTGCCCGTGGCCTTCTTCATTGAGAGCCCCGAGTAATTGCTTGGTTTGTTTGCCCTCTAGTTTGCCTTTGTAGGGTACTTAGCTAACACTCATTGCACAGCCTGTTAAGATTAGCTGCTTAGCTTCAACTACAACTTTCTTTTGCTACAACTTCATGCATATAGAGATGCTGATTTAGCTTATTACGATAATGTGACATCACTGGTGCTTGTAAATCATTCTAAAATTGTGCTTCGTTCTCTGAGAACCATCCCATTGCCCCTTAACATCATGTTGAGAACAACTGCATTAGAGCAATGTGCAGGATTGTGATCCTCCAGAACTGATCTAGAGTCATGAGCATGACGATCTAGGCCAACAGAGAGCACGTTGTTCAGTGGGACTTGTGCAAAGACACAGGCCTGCATGGAGACACTCATTGGATTATCAAGTTTAGCCTAATTGCATTTTACTGTTTCGGGCTTCACCGTCAGCGCCTGCCTGTTCACACAGGCCACGCTGCCTTGGTTTCATACCAGCATTCATTAAGCCCAAATGTGCAAGTGAGCAAATTAAATGGCCTAATGTGGAATCTCACATTTAGCTTTTAATCTCAGAGTTGTTGGTTTTCCTACCCCTCGCAAATGGGTCACATTCGGTCTTATTTTGGGTTAGTTTTTGTAAAGAACCGTTGCATTAAGTCTCCACATTGGCATTCATTCATAAGAATTACGTAAGTCCAGCTAATACAGATAAAATGGTCCACTCCCACAGTAAAGCCTAAAAATTGCATTTTAAAACCAAATCCCTTCTTGTGTCTCAAATTAAGTGATGTATATTTGGACACAAGTGAATACCTTTTGAAGCTAAATTGTTATCAGCACACCATGGGCCAAGGTATGGAACGCCACAGTGGTATGTTCCTTTTTCAGGTGCTTCATACACAAAGCATTCTATACACACCACACACTCTATTATTAAGCAGACATTTTTAGTCAGCTAAGATTAAACAGCAGACGTTATTGCATAAGCAGCCTGTGAAAAACAGGACATGGCTTTGGCCTTATTTGCTTATAAAAGAACACCGCCTGCTGTTTCATTGCTTCTGACATTTCGCTACCTTGCCATTTCCTGTCTGCTGGATTTGGACACGGAAGGATGTGTGGTAGTTACCCTCACAGGGCTGACGAATGTGAGCAATAATAAATCATACACCAGTTACCCACAGCTCACATCAGCCATGTAACAACAGAGGATTTTTAGGTGGGGAATTCTCTTTTGCAGCAAATTGGTTCAAAGCTTCTGAATGAATCAGGGGAACTTTTAGATTTTATTGCAAGATTCAGCTCCTGTCTCATCAGGTGTATATGGAAATTATTCGCTGGCAAACAATGCATTACTTTGGATACTTCAAACAGCCATTTAAAAAACCCTTATCTTTCCTAATTTACATTTCATTTTTCTCTTTTTTTTCTAGTGCAACGATGATGTCTGTACGAGATAAAGACCTGCTGTTTTTAGACTTGGGAACCAGTCTCTGTACCATATCTTCATTGGACTTTACGCCAAATAAGATATTTTTCTGCCTTAATTGTGACACTGTTTGTGTTATTTGCTGATTTACATTAATCTGTGGCAATTTACAGTGTTTCCTGGCTTTTTATTTGCTTTAAATAAATGCTTTAAATTAGCATATAATTTATTATGATGCCATTGATATTTTTCCACTTTCTACTCTTCTGGACCACTTAATTACTAGATTCACTGAAACTGACAACTTTTAATTAGACAGTCACATTTGCTTTGTACACTCATCCTGCCTGCAAACATGGTTTATAGTTGCTAAACAGAGAACACTATACTGTAGCTGAACGCTATTTTTGTTTTCATTTATTTTTAAAGCTTGAATAATTTTTGTTCTAACAGGCAAAGTGACAGCCAGGTTTTCTGATTTTCATATTAACTTTATTTACTCATATTTTATACCAAAGGAACTTGATTTGCACTGAAATGTACAAGATTTAATGTGAATGTCATCTTTCAAAGAATATTGAGGTGTTCGTGGGTCAGTCTTTTCAGATCAGCCGTTCAGACTAAATGAACCATTGCTTACAAAGTTTGCACATCATGAAAATTATGTATTCCCAAAATAAACTTGGCAAAAGTATAGTATCCTTTAAATATGTATTCTAAACCATATACATATCTTAAAATAGCAATAAGGAACTAACTTTTGTCTCAGCTATATATTTTCGCTTTGAATCATCAGTGGCAAGAGCAGAATATTATAATTACACACATTCAGTTTGAAAATGAAGAATGTGTATTGTCTCCCATAGAAATCAAAGGATGACACTGTTCAGAATAGCCATTACACCAATGTGTGTAAGTTGAAAAAGCTTTTTTTACCACAGCAATCTCTGCACAGTGTTGACAAAATGAGGAGATATACAAAAATATTCACATAGCAGCATCTGTTAACTGGAACTGTTGACTACAATGAACTAAATCTTGAATCACTGTCTTGTAAATTCTTGGCATTTCAAAATGGCTTTTAATGCACTTAGTAGGTGCGCATGACAAAACATGCATGTAGTACTTTACTTGGCAAAACTGATCATTTAGCTCATTACATACAAATCTTCAATACTGAAGTAGCTCCATCGTAGAATATACAGAAGACAATGAAAATGCACAAAAATCTTACGTAACAGTACAAACACTTGGCATAAGCATCCAACAAGTAAACCTTTTACTTTTACCCATAGAAGCAGCTACTTAGATATTATATTTATATATATATGTAACAATAAATGGTGACTCAAGATTCACAAGGTACAAAATATCTGCTTTTAAACCTGCTTTCCCAAGCTTTGTCCTTTACAATTGCAGTGGTATTGTGTAATATTTTTGTAAGAATCTGAAATGTGCACTCATAGAAAGTTAGTATGCTTGTATTGTGTAATCATTTGTTAATAATTTCTTTTTACATCATGAATGTTGATGTACATGGCAATGAATACATCTGTGCTGGATAAAACTGTGATATTAAGGCTGTAATATATACACACTACAGGACACCATCTGTTTCCCTGACCAATTCAGCAAGCTTCTTTCTGAATTTCCAATAAAAGTGCAAATACATTCTTCTGTGATATCTCATCCCACATATTTTACTGTAAGCATTGTTTCCCAACCCCAACCAATAAACCACCGCCAACATAATGCAGAACCTACAAGTTCCCTCATTCAAACTAAACTTATTCCAGCCAACTCAGCTACAACTACTACTCAGCTACTTCTGTGCACATTTAAAAAAAGGCTGCGTAAAACTGTGACTTGGTTATGATATTTCAAAAGTAAATCTGTAGTGGTTGAAGCTCCGACACAACACCAAGTGTTTCTCCTGAATAAGTCAGCTCACAATCCCTGTACAAGGAATCTCCTACCAACAGTACACGCCATTATAGTCCTATGCAGATTTGCTAGCAATAAAGCTTCAAAGGCATATATGAATATTCAGTTAATCAGAGTCTCTGTGATGAGAGATAACAGTCATGATCAATATCCAAGGCAACCAGATTTTTTTTCCCTCTCTGCTTATTGACTGGAGTAAGCTTTTAGAATCCATGTCTATTCCTGCACTGCCACTCAAAAGCTTGTTTGATCTTTCCACTGTTGCATTCTGGTTGAGCTTTCTTCCCCTTCCCGTCCTGTTTAGTTCTGCTGTCATTACCTCTTAATTAAGGTGGAAAATAACAGTGGAACAGCTGCAGGCCCTGACCGCTTCCCCTAATGAGAAGCCTATCTCTCCGGAGTGTCCATCTCAGAGTTGGGAGTGGGCAGTCGCTTCGGCCGCTATGCTCTGGCTCACAGCCCCCCACCAAAACCGATCAATTTAGGAGATCAGGAGCCGCCACACTACCTGCCTCCGCTCCACTCACTCTCAAAGCCTGATAAGCCCTACAGCGCTACTTCCTTACTGTCCCCTCTGCCTAACACAGGTCATGTTGAGATGCAGTAACTCTGTGCCCTTTTTAAAGACCATTTTCCCCAGATAGCAGTCAACTCCTGCCTCAGTGATGAATTACACCTAATTAAATGTCAAGTAAACAGTTTCATGGTCAATGTAGTGAGTGGAGTATCTTACAGTGGTGCAGTCTAGTCTGAAATAGAGGCTGTACTATGATTAGATTCTAAAGGGGTACTTTCTCCAGCTCATTTTCTAAACTTTCTTCTGCATTCGTAGCAGTAATGTGTTGTGATGCCTGTATGATTCATTTGTCTTTTTTTTTTTATTTGTAGAACATCTTTTTTTTGTTTTTGCTTTGTTTTCAATTTGTCAGCCAGCTGGATGAGAAGTAAACAACAGTTTTATTTGCATGGCTGTTCAAAATGTCACATGCAACAGTATTAACAGCCTGTAAGTGGGTATATGCAAACCCTAGCGGGTTTCCTAGTGGGTATACAGTGCATATAACAAAGACTATCATCTCTGGTTTCTTTCATATTCACAGCATGTTATTAAGACCACAATGCCTTGCACCAAAATAGCAAGTATCTAAACATGTGGTATGGGTTTTAGTAGTAGTTGTGAAGTTTCAAGTAATTATTGGATAAAACGTCAAAAAACAGTCAAATTGGAAACTGTCGGAGTACTTCATTAGCAGTAGTGAGCTAAAAGCCGAGGCATGGTAAAATGCTCTTAACATGGTTTGCTAGAAGCTTTTTCCCTGAAGAGGGCACATTGTACAACAGATAGCCTCAGCTTGTGTTTAGAGTGAATGCTGTGATAAACTGCTACACAACCAAACCTTTGAATTTAGATGCTCAGCATGATAACATGATTATGTGTAGGTAAAAACTGCATTCAGTCTTATGTCTCTTCTCTTAATGTCACATTGGCTGGACTGCTAAACATTTACACTGGTTAAGTGGTATATTGGTAAGTAATCAGTGTCTCTATTGAGGGAGTATCCTGCTGTTATCCACATTACAACATGGTGACCCAACAAAACTAGCCTAATTAAGCTAATTGCTCTACTAACCAGCTGTGTGTGACAAATTATTTCCCATACATATTTAAAACGAGAAGGTTAAAGCGTCATGAATTTAACAGTCTTGAAGTCTTCAGGTAATTGTTCCAGCTAAGGGAGGTAATACAGCTTACATTTACAGATTACATTTTGCTAAGCCCTGATTTTTTAAGAGCAAATCTATATCTATATTTATTCATTTATCTTTTTATTTAAAATATTTTTTTCAGTCCTACGATAAAAGATAGCTGTGTGTCCTTTTTCTCACCACAGCATACTTTTAGGGAAAACAAAATGTCTCTTTTTTGTTCTTTCACAACAGGATTTTCTGCTCTATGCCAAATGAGACACAATACATTTGCTGGGTTTCAGTTCTAACCCAAAAATGTGTGGGCTTCAAAGCCTCCTGCTTTTGGCTGGCTGAAGGCAGTTAAAATGCGTAACAATTTTTGAAGGGCTCGCCACATTTAAAGCCAGCAGTAAGCAATTATCTATTTACATAATCTTTCAAAAAAATAAACAGATTTCTCAGAATATTATGAAATGCACCCGGTGTCATAAGTAATACTATGTACATCATATCAGCTTCAGATGTTGGAATTAATACACGGTGATAAGTCACCAGCACTCATTTTCCAACAACAAGTATCGTTCTAAGTGATAACACGCGTATCTCATTCTTTCGCCCTGTTTCACTAAGCATACTGCACTTCATGCAATAAAGGGTCTGTTAAAAGCCCTCTGCATATTCATGGTAGTGTGTGCGTATGCTCATACAGCTAGGAGCCCATGACAACAAACCTCTGGTCTCTTTCAAGTGACAAAACATTAAGGCAGCTCATCACCAGTCATATACAACACAAAGGTCAGGAATTTCCCCACTGCTGCCTTGGTGAACAAAGAATATCGTATGTAGCAAGAGACTACCACACTCTGCATTTCTCGTCTGGATTCATGGGAGCTCCTCTCTTGCATTGAAAGGCCTCAGAAAAGGCTTCGAAGTTTTGCAAGGACCCCAACACCCTGGTGAGATAAGACAGATAATTATTATTTATCATTTACCATTTAAAGGTTTTTCAGTCACCATTTGGAATCAGTGTTTTCTGTAATAAAACCAATTTCGATGCAGGTGCATGTATAAAATTATCCTATATGATTCTAGCACTCTACAACTTCATAGGCCATAGGTTCCACTAAGATGACTGAGAAAGTCATAATAAAATTAATATCCAAAAAGCCTTGAATCTGAAAAGTGGTCATTAAATCTTGAGGCAGATAACTTGACAAGAAATTAGTGTATAAATAGAATTACAATATAGATCTGAATCATTTAATAACTTATTCTTGCACCCTGGAAATACTAATAAAACATCTAAAAACACCTTATATGGTCTACTTCATATTCCAATTTAAAAAATAACAATTATCAATATTACAAGTATTTCCCAACTTTGGAACAATAGTATACACATAGAATTCCATGGGTCCCTCTCATTGTGAAATGCATACATTTTATTTATCTTATTCTATTAAGAAGCTTCATATTCTTAGCTGAGAAATTTACCTGTACTCCAGAGGACTGTGAGGATCTGTTTTAATGGACTGGATGGCATATTCAGGGCGACAGGCACCACACCATACCTGGGAAGCCAATCCGATTTATTCATTTTTACTAACAATGCGCTACCAATACATATTTTTTGCTCTAGGCTGATACAGGTGTTGCAAATCCATCTGACATCTAACGATATTTAATCAGTGTCAGTCACACTCTTTAACACTGCACTGTAAAAGAATATACAGCTATAAAGGAAACAATTTGATAGAGACCATCTGTCACCTAATCTCACAGGTAACAAAAGCCCATGTACCCAAGCTTGGTTGAGTTCTGTGGTTTTGTATATGCTGTTCTTTGTTCTGGTTTTGACCTTAGACTCATAGACATTATAAGAAAAGTCTAGTCATCTGGGCTATTTCAGAACAGAGCTCCCAAGAGCTGGACTTTATTATCAGTTTGTCATTTCAAAGCTAACGCATCACCCTGCCCATTTGGGCAGATTCTGCAATTCAATCAGCAATTTCATGTCTAAACTGCCCCTAAGATATTACAGTGCATGTAGCAATTTACTTTCAGAAGGTGGAACCTTTCCTTTCCATGCAAGTCAATTTAATTTGATATGGTCCTAACCAGATGCATGCCTGTCAAAGGGAATAAACATAGCAATTATTTCCTGTCACTCACCTGGGCAAAGTTGAGGAAGAAGAGCTGTTTATGATCCAAGTCCAAACCAGGAAGACGAGGCTCCTCGCCTTCCCTTTCCACCCACTTCATGTATGCCTAATGCCCCACACACAAATACACACAACAACAAAAAACCTCTTCAGTTGTAACCCTGTTGTTCAGGAAAGCAATTCTGCTTTATTTGTATGTAAAGCAGTTGAAAAGCCACCTTGTATGCTTGCCTAACTCCTCCATTATCAGCAATGTTCTCCCCCAAAGTGGTAATGCCACTGACCTGGGCCAGAGGGTATGAAAAAGACAAATAGAAGGCTTTTTCGGTTGATTTTGCTTCTTAGGCCTAATGTTCATGGGTCATATTTGAGCAAACCATTTTTCAATTATGTAAAGGGATTATTTAATGAATTGATCTGTGAAGTATCTTAACAATTACGTAAAATCTGATAATTACATTTTGGCCTCCTGCAAGTTTCCAGCTGAATGTGCCATACTGTTGCACCATGCACTTAGACTGGTCCTCAAAATGTTCAGTAGAATAGTTGCTCCACCAATTGTACATGTTCCCATCTTTGTCAAAGTTACGCCCTATAAAGAATAAAGGTAGAGTGCAAGGTTAGTTACTGAAAAAGAGCATGGTTTATATCAGCCCCACTCATATTTCTTGTCAGCTCTAGAGGAACGCACAGTTAATCTTTGATATTTAAAATCATGCACTTAGCATAGGCTGCAATATATCACGTGCAAATTAGACAGTCATCTAATCAGAATTGTTTATTCGGCCAAAGCATGCTGAAATTGATGTTATTAATCAGAGGAAGGTGACTGTCTCACCATGGTCATCAAAGCCATGGGTGATTTCATGTCCTATTACCATCCCAATGCCTCCAAAGTTTAGTGCTTGGAGCTGCTTCTCACTGAAGAAAGGAGGTTGTAGAATTCCAGCTGGAAACACTAAGAGCACGAGAGAGTGAAAGAGCATAAGCACAATTAAATGAATGAAAAATCTGATGAAAACTTATACCTGTAATTTAGTAACAGGGTATTAGTTGTTGTGAAATGCATATTAGGTGAATGTATGAACCGTTATCATAGTATTCAGAGAGGCTGGTAAAGATACAGTATTTTCTCCATTTCTCTCCATTGCATCAAAAACCCTGGTTACAGCTGCCTCTCTGTCTCCAGAATAGCAATTCAGCTTGAAGTGTTTCCCAGAATGTCCAGGAACATTAAAATGTGCAATCTAAGTGTAATTATGTGGAAATTACTCCAGCTGAAAATCTGCATAATCACCCGGCTTTTGCAATCTATGTATTAACCCAGCTTGAATAGCATGCTTTCTGTGCCTTCAGCGCATCTCTTTTAGACCAGCTCTTGTGTGCACTCGAGCCTGAAACTAGCTTTATATTATCTACGAGAAAAAAGCCTTACAGGCATTGCGGACATTATTTCTAATGAGCTGAAAAGGCATTTAGACCTATGCTTATGCAGCAGTGTGACCAGAAACAATTTCTTCCCCTGGTTTTGTGTTTGGACATTAGTATTCCCTCTCACACCGTGGTCCCATGGGTCCTTTACAGTAGATTAGAAAGTCATAAAAGCTGAGTTTGGCAAGTCCTCATATTAGGTCCACTTAAGTTTTTTTTTAATGATAGCTTGAGGTACAAATATAAACTGTGTCTCTAAGTACATAAGTATTTCCTCTATGTCCCCAGACAACTGTTAACTTTTATATTCTCTCTACAGCATATTAACAGTTATAAACTTACCTATCTGGTTTCTGTTGTGAGAGTAGAATGCATTGACCACAGCTGCACCAATGATCCACCTGACAAAACATTGATAGCAGGATAATGTTGAGAAACAGTGCCTGAAAAGGATAGACAGTATTTTATGTGCCTGTTTAAGTCTTGTGATTTATTTTAGTTTAGTTTTGTTTTGACTATAACGCACAAGTCAGGGTCCACAGGTTCCCTTAGCTTCTTGTGTCCTTTCCGAGCAGTAGCTTGAAGGTTCTCAAGAATATTTTCAAAGTAGTTCTCTTCACTGAAATTTAGCTGTGTATGAGAAAAAAAGATGACATTTAAAAGCTCTTTCTCACTCACAAACTAAACATACAATTTAACAAAGATTAAGGACCATAGTGACCACATTATTTATCATTTTTTTAACCAGGCTTTTGCTAGGTTAAACATGGCTTGAGGCTAAACCGCTCATGTAGAAGCTTTAGTTGTGTTTAAATGAGAGTGGCATCACAGAAATTAACAAAATAAATAAGAAACAATGTTGTAGCTCACATGGGCGTACTCATGATCCAACTTCTGATTGTTTTCTTCCAGAATATAATCTGGGTAGCCGATCTGCTCTGAAATAGCCATGGCCTGAAACATCCGAAAGCCCTGTGATCAGCTCAGCACATTCAGCAAATATTTTAAGCTCCCAAATCTCACATCTAATTAGTTTAGTGGCATCTTCTAGGCCTGATTGCAGCTGTCGTAAGTTGTACAAGGACATCTGGAAACAAAGCAATCACACTGTAATGCAACTGGTCCTATCCAAATCTGTCAGCAAGAAAATATTTCCGTGACAGAAAAATCCTTTAACGTCCATCCATTCACTTTAGGTCACTTCTGTGCATTTATGTAATTCTTAAGAATCAGTCAAAGCATCAGCTGAGTCATCTCGAAATCAAGGTTGAATCGCTTCTGAATAAGAGTTTCAGGTAGGGCAGTGATGTGCAAATCACTTTTGCATTTGACTTCAACTGACAAATCATTTGCCAAATTTCTGTGACAGAACTGGAAAAATAATGCAATTACACATACATTTACTGTGTCTCTCCAACAACAAACCAACAAAGCAAACACTGGTCGAATGGTTTATGATCTACAGTGAATTAAAAGTGCAGGTCCTTAAATCATGTGACTAACTGCTTCATTTCTGTGCCTTCCCTGAATATTGTGGCCTTACCTTCTCTCTGGCCTTCTCCTTGGACTGATCATCCATCCAGTTTAGCTCTTCTAGTGTTTCCACAAATGCCTCCTGAATCTTTCTGATCAGTTCACCAACCTGGACAAAAGGAGAAAAAGAACCATTTTTGTTCAGCAGGTAACATACATACACACATATACATGCATACAGACAGTAGTTACACAATACTGCACAATTTCCACAATATATCACTGCTGTAACCTGTTAGTACTGATGTCTGTGAGAAACACTGACAGACTCTAATAAAAGTATATTACTTTAGTCAAAATCTGTATTTTTACTTTTAATATGTAACAATCGAATAGCAATATTATAATTAATGCACATCATCTAGACTCAGTTCACATACAGACCCTTAAGTACTACACTTCCTTAGGAAATTTTTGTGAAAACACTAAGTATGACCAAAATAGACCACTGGCAAGACTAAACAGCCTCAGTGACTGTTGACAATAACAATGATGTAAAAGTCAGAAATTTCCTGTGCAGGGTCTAGACATTGTAGGCTAGGACTCACCATGCGCTTACTGTCTCCAGCAAAGGTCTCCCGAACATACAGAGCCCCCACTGCGTTCTCCATATTGCTCTGGACGTAGCGTACGCAGTCTCGCCAGCGCGCTTCCTCTACTGTGGTGCCATGTAAAGCCTAAGCAAATTGATGTGCACGTGGAGATGCATTATTATGTCAGCATGCACAAAGCAACTGGATAGGTGTTGTGTGTGACTACAGTGCTATACTGCTTCTCATTCTTTTAAATGTGTGAAATGAGCATCATATTCAGGGTGAAGTTTCATTTTCAGCGCTACTTTTTATTTAAATAATAATACCTGCAAAGATGCTACTAAAGGTGATTCAAACATCTGAAAGATTTGCGTGCTGATGAATGCTGACATTACAACAAAGTGATCAAGGTAAGTGGAATTTTTCCTATGGTAGGCCTTCCAGATAAAGTTTTTTCTGCAGGCAATATCTGAATGATTTCATATGCTGGACAAACCAAACTTTTGAGAGGCAGTGTTTTATTTATTTTAAAATGTCTGTATTTTCAGTGAAACCTTAAAATCTATTGTATTGAGCCCTATAACATTACTGAACATCCATTAATATACTCTCTGGCAATGCACATGCAAATGACCTACAAAATTACCCACAATCACAAGCTCTGCACATGGAAAACAATAACATAGTATCGCCACAATACCACTGTTTTGAGTATCGTTTCAAAAGTGAGTTTTTTTGGATGTGATTCCTTTTGTGAGTTACTTCAATGTGCAGTCGTACTGTGTTTTGCATGAGTGTGACTGACCTTTCTGTAGTGGGCTCGAACATCTTTGAAGCGGCGGCTCAGGCTGCTGACCCTCTCCATCACAAGCATCCACACCAGGTAATTCTGCACAGTCCTACAAAGACACCCATATGATATTAACTTTAACATTTGTTAACATGAGCGGCAATATTCTATTATAAATGTATTTTAGAGCACTGATTGTTGCTATGCCCATTTGCTTCATGTATATTCCTGCTTTGTCTCTCTTTGTAACTCTCTGTTACTATAAAATGACAGCATATCCTGAAGTTCATATAACATGGTTTTGTGAAAAAAACGCAATAAAAGGCCAAATTTGTCCCTCTCACCTGCGGTCATATCTAGACAGAATATGGCTGAGCTTCTCAAGGTATGGTGAGCAGTAGACCACAATGGGCTCCTCTGGCTGCACTGCAATGGAAACACTGCCCATGATTCCCTGAATGTAGTGGGTCCAATTAAATCCCTGCAATACCAGTCAAAACATACATACAGTGTTACACCCAATGGTGTTTCTCTGATAATCCTTACTCCATTACCTACAACTTACATCAAGACTGAAGGTATCCTGCACATCTCGCAAGGTCATCTTGTTGTAGAGGACAGTGATATCATTGCGTTCCTCAGCTGGGGATGTGGCCTATGGGCGCAGCAGGTCAAAAGACAGCATGCAGTCAGACAACATTCTCACTCTTTCTTAAGTCTTGCTTAAGTAAATTAACTAATGCCAGAAGGTTTTTATATGGCTAAATCTATACTGTTGTTAAGTGCTGTCAAATATTTGTGGGCATCCTTTTAGACCCGGCCTTAAATAAAACCAGCAGAATGTAGGGGTCATATACTATATTTTTTAATATTGTAAAGTTTGTGTGATTTTATGTCAAACTCTCTTTATACCTCACAACTTAACATGCCGTCTTTAGAACAACTGACATAATTTCGAAAAAAAATGATGCATTATGCAAAAAGCATTTGAAAAAAAATTTACTAGTCACTCTTGCTGAATGTCTGGATCCTTTGGAATAGGGGTATTCAGCTCTGGGTATCCAGTGTCCAGCACAGTCTGGTAACTGCACTATTCAAAAACACCTACTGAACATTGGAACACATGAATGAGTCGAATCAGGAATGTTTGAGAAAGGAAATCACCAAACTGGACATAAGCCCTCCAGGACTGGAGTTGAAAACCCCTGCTCTGGAAGGATGCAATGACACACTCGTATCCGACAACTGGGCACAGTGCTACTTTGAATCATTTTCCCCACATATTCCACTTCAGACCTGCAATAAAATTCAGTTTTCCTTTCCAATAGGCAGTCTTAATTTGGCTCTGTAGAAGTCATACACTGATTATTTTATTTTATTTTATTTATTTGGTTTTCATCTTCCTGTCTGTCCAACAGTCTGCAGGGCCCATTACCTGATACCAGGCTACTCACATTGGCGATCTCTCTCTCCAGCTCCATCACTTGCATCATTTCCTCCCACACATGCTCATCATCTTGGGTCAGATTCCTGTCCTCCCGCGCTATTTTTGCCATGGAAACCATGAACTGCAGGTAGGCCTCACGCACCTAGCCACACAGATGAACACAGGCAGATTGTTGATACCTGTAATTATATTGTGGGCAGCACCTGAGTGTGTGAATCATGACAAAAAGAGACTGCACCTTTCTGTAGTTGCCATCGTTGAGGTAATAATCTCTTGAGGGCATTCCTAGCGAAGGCTGGTCAATCTTCAAAAGACAAGGAAGACTTTATGAAATATTTAATATGTGCTTCAAACTTTGTAAACAAATTAAAACTTAGGTACTGTACGATATTGAAATAAAATGCGACGTTCGGAAAAGCTGTCAGGTATCACAATAACGATAGGAAAAGTGATAAATTATTAAAATTTGTGCGCTAATGACGTTTTTTTGAAGGCGTAAACAGAAATCTAACTAACCTCTCCTTCAAGCAAAAACCAAAATACAAAATTGCCAAAAATTTAATGAATTAAATAAATGAGCGCGTTCCCTAACTTTAGCACAGTGCTGCACTTCTTGAGCTTTAATTCAATACTAAAGGATAACAGTGGCTATAACACTTCATGGAAGTAAACCCAGTAAAGTACTGAAATCTGTTTCTCTACATGAATTATGTGGCGGCTTGAGTCTCGATCATCAGGCCACACGAACATTTCCAGCAAAATCTTCTTGTTGTAGTGAGCATTTAAGGCTGCTAGGGTATCCTCCAGCTTCCATGTCTCCTCTGTAAGGACAAATGGATGAAAATACATCAGCAACTTTGCCCCTCTGTTTTCAAACCTCTGAAGAAAGAGAACCCCTCATAAAACACAGCCTGTTGTTTATACAGTAGGATGGATGATGGAAACACTAATGAAATGAGTTTTGCTACAGCAGAAAACAGTATGGATTAGGGACAAGCAAACCCACTGATTTTCTTTTCAATCTGGTACAAAGTGATCTGATGATGTTAAATTAGTGTTAAAACATATCAAAACAAATACTATATATAACGTACACAAGGATCTAGCCCTGTGCGGGTAACAGAGTGCTCTCACTCAGGTAACTGTGTGGAAAGTAACCACAGTAAACAATTAAACTGGGTTGGTGTCTTTACTTTTTTTTACACTGATAGCATAAGTTGAAGCTTAATCACAGCACCGTTCAGTAAAAGCCATATTTCTAGAACAATCTTAACTATACTAGGTACAATAAATGTAGTATTAATGTAGAATGTTACACTCAGCACTGTGTTAAAAGTTCAGTTATGCTTACATGTGATTACTGCTGTCTTGCTTTGCTTTGCATGAACAATAATATGACAATAAATGAATGGTTTTTAAACCATAAGCAAGTTTTTATGATCAACAGAGGCTGTTACCACAGAAACTCATTCTCAAAAGAAAAAGTCAAGTTGGGAGTACTTATAGTATAGATATGGTTCTAGACTGGTATTAGCAATGCACTGATAAAATGTCCCTTTCTTAAAGAAGTTGTTACAAACCTCTCAGCAAAGGCTGTGTGTGTATGTATGTGTGTGTGTATGTATGTATGTATATGTGTGTGTGTGTGCGACTGTCTGTGTATACTGGGCAAATTATGATTTAATAATTTTGAGCTTTCTTTCCTCCATTAATTAATTACAGCATTTCTCACTCAGGAATATAAGGGTGTAATAATTTAGGCCTCAGTGCCAATCATTATGAGAAAAAGCTCTTCACTATTCAACCCATACAATCCTTCCACACTCTGTGGTGGAGCTTTAGGTGTGTGAAGCCTCAGCCGTCTCAATCAATCCACTCCTTATCAACTCTCTGAGACACCAGCTTCAGTGCCATTGTGTTTACACATTTAGATAAGGCAGAGACACTGCTGTCTTCCTTTATAGTGAATCAGGGGTGCGTGGTATCTTCAGTACCTGCTGTGCTGTTCCAGTCCTCAGAGGCTACAGGCCAGTCGCCAATACTATCAATGAGCTTGAGGAGGGGCTGCGAGTCACGCTGTTCAATCACACCTGCAGGGGACAGACAGGCTGTCAATTTATTCAGCTTGTTAGGAATAAGCTCAGAACTTGCATTAAACCCATGTAACTGGCTTTTGTTGTGTGTATTTTTTTTGAATGCTAGTGTAAAACAGCCACAGAATAATAACCCAGTGATTATTATTATCCAATACAGATGGACTGTGTTAACATATGTTTGCCGACCAGCTAGTTTTAGAACACCTGTGGTAATTACTTGCTCTCTTTGGTATGTCTGTACCACCTCGATCTATAATCTTCGATTTTCTCTAGTTCTTTCCCTCCCAGGAATTTGGCCTTCTTATAGTGTTTCTAATTGTCCTTCAATATTCTTTTTACCTGGGTGACTAGAGAATTTCCGCCAGGCCCAGGTGTCAAGATCTTTGCACCTGATTGACCAACATTTTGGAAGATATACGATACATTATATATAATGGAGTTAGCCTCAGGTTTTTTTTTGTAAATGTAAGTTTTGCTGTCTGCACTTCTTTGTACGAGGCATGCATTCCCCTTTACATTTCACAGGTACTGTGATAATGTAGATAATATATTATTACAACATTTTGCAATGCTAACAATTCAACAAAGGTAAATGTGACAGAAAACCTCCATGTTTTCAGCTAGCAAATTTAGTTTAAGTGTAATGTCTGATATTAGGGATCATTGTCACTAGGGTACCTAAATAAGAGTAGGCTTTGGGTTACTGAACAGAAATAAAATGTGCTCATAGTCTAATAAGAATTTGTAGGGAAAACGCTTCAACAATTGTGAAATTTGTCTTAAGCTGATCAGGAAAAAAATCATTGATGTGCTTTAATGTATTTCAGAATACGTCTCATCATCTGTCAGAGTTCCAACGTGTTCACATGCACACAAATGTAAATAAAGTAGCACTCACTCTCATTCATACATGATCTGTAGAGCATTTTAGCTTTCTTGAAAGCCAGTCGGTCCTGTTCTTTCTCCGTCTCAAGAATCCCTGTGAGCCATCAAAAATAAGGTGAGAACATTTATTCCAATCCATGAGGCCTCACACTCAGCCTGCAAATAAGAAACACTGCAAATAAAAGGACATTGCATAACTGTGACACAACTGACCCTTTAGCACAATCTCCAGCTCATCTCTCAGGATGTTGAAGACACTGTGCAGAGAGCTGGTCTCAGGGATGACGTGCCTCTCCAGCCATCCTCCACAGGCATACTGGTAAAAGTTCTGGCATGGGTCAACACTAGGGTCCATGTTTTGCAGTAACCTTGCCGCTGTAGGGATAGCAGTACTGTAAGAATGCATGGTGCTTACATTGGAAAGTAGCCTCATTGTCTTATTATGGGCAAAACATGTTTTACCTCAAATGTAGTAAATCAGCCAAGACATGTTTGGTGTCTGAAAACTGCTTCTTAAGTGTTGCACAGAAGCCTCATGGCTAATGTGGCTAACAAGTAATGGATACCTACGCTTCACCAAATAGCAATTAGCATAAATAAATGAAAGTCATTTAAAAAAGGATGTAAGACACCCCAATAAAAGGCAATTCTGTTTCAGACTACACAGTCAGGAGAGATCTCTACTTTTTTAAACAATGCAAATGAGTTTACCTGCTGTGACACAATCTGGGGTCGTGCAGACGTTGCTCTCAGTGCTGAAATGATACTGAAGCCCTGTAAATAAATAAATAAATTAATAAAAAAGGAACAGTGTAACTCAATATCTCAACATCTATCATCAGCATCTAGAACGCAGCACAAATAAAAAACTGTCTTACGTAATCGACTCACAACTAGCTGCCACTGTTTATGCATGTTTAGCACTGTTTGGAATGGCATTGTGCAAGGAGGATTAATTTCAAACAATCGGGCACTGCTATAACTGTGCTGCAAATGCACTGTCCTAGTTAAAAATAAGGACAGAAACAATAGATTCACAAAGATATGACACGATTGATATATGGCATTTGGGACACAATCACTTTAGACTGCTTCTGTCACAGACACCGATTCTGCATTGTTCATTTGGAACTGACTTTGTCAGCTGTGACAGTGCTGCTGTCTGGAACTGCTGATAACCCAGGAGCAGATGGGGATAGAAAGGTAGACAGATTAAAAGAGGTGAGATGCAGTTGTAATGGAAAAGTATATGATCTGATCTTCACCTAAAATATGAAATGATTTCTGTCTAAATCATGATAATAAATACAGACATTTTAATCTAAAACAACACATACAGCGTTTTTTACTGAATTGCGTTTTACTGAACAAATGCTTTAACCCATAAAACTGCAAGAGTCTGTATGTGGACCCACAATTCAAGTCTTCACCCTCTTAACCACATGACTTATGGACTAGTTTCATAGTAATTACTAAGTAATAAGTAATTCTATATTAATCCTGTGCTTAATGGTTTAATCAATCAAGGTCACTGAGGTCACTGGGAGAAAAATATGAAAATCCCTATGGTTTGTAACAAGGGGGGTTAAAACACATGCTGTATGTAGTTGCTGATCAGAAGCAGCTGCTGATGAATTTTGGGCCATTCCTCTCTACGCATCTGTTTAATTTCATGTATATTCGTAGATGTATTGCTTAAACGGCCTCCTTCAGATCATAGTGCAGAATTACAATGGGAATGAAGTCAGGTTATTGACCTGGCCATTTTAAAACACAGAATTCTTTCTGTTCAAGTCACTGTGTTGTTGATTTACTCATGTATGTTGAGTTCACTATCTGACTAACCTGACTGTGGCCCAAGAACTTCAAATTACTTTTGTAACCCTCTTCAGTCTTGGGCTTCAAATGTTTAATTCTGAGGGCCTCTGAAATCTCTATTATTTGGGCCGTGCCTGTGAACTCAGCTGAAGTGCATTTACTAAAAGTTGTCTTTTTTAAATCCAACATAGCACATTAAAACTACACCTGAATTAAATGGAACTCAAGATTTTAATTACCTTCTTTTCAAGGGATCACTATTCAAGCTATTGACATTTTTCTCAGCAATAACCTTGATTGTTGACACTGATTTGTTTAATAAAAATATGGCAATGTGTGTGTTGGTCACAATGACCAAATACCATGGCTGTCCTTTAAGAAGTGACAGAAATAGCAGATAGCAGAGCTTCAGCTGTGCATTTTTCAGCTAATTTTTTTACTACCAAAACAGATGAAACGTTTGAGAATTAGAATGAAACCACCATTACTGTACCTTTTGAAGGTCCATTTCTGTATGAGTATTCTGAAAATGAGAAAAAGCAATTCTTACAAGAGATGATCTATAAAACGTAAGAATTCAGTTAATCATTTCTTGTTACCTCCTTACTGTAGTTAAAAAGACCGCAGACATTTTGTAATGAATGGTCAACAATATTTAATTCTTACATGTGAAAGTGTTAAAAACCCTAGCTCTAATAAAGCAGTTCTACATTTCTCCTAAAACACGCTTAAATTCAAGTTATAGTCATCACTAACTGAATGATTTTCATGGGAACAATATATGGTCCCAAATTTACCAGGATGTGTTTCGCCTACCCTTTAGTGCAGAAGCGTAGAGCACTACCAGTCCTGCCAGCGCACAGCTCATGAGCAGTAATATAATGGACAAACCAATCTCCATAACAGTCCAGCGGTGCTTCCTTGGTTTAGTTGTCTTCTCCATTATGTCCATTTGGCTCTCAGATTTTCCCATTCTGTGATGCCCTGAGAAATAAAGCAATGTTGTGGCATTTAAGGTGCTTAGAGTGAAAACAACCAAGTGTGAACTAGTGGAACAGCTTATACCAAGTCAAACAAGAAAAATATGACAAGCAGCCCTTATGTGGAAGTGACACAGAAAGGGAAAATACTGACCATTATGTGAACGCAACCACAAATGTAGAGAGGTTTGGACATTTTAGAAACTATCAAGATGTCTTACAATGTTCTAATTTATTTTTTTCCTGGAGGTTCACTTATGACAGCTTTGAGTTTTTATTAACCAAAAACAATCATTATTTACTTTACATGCTCATTTTTCCAACCTCTTCTCAACCCCTTAGAATTAAACAGGCTGTGTTACTTTGCCTTTAGAACTAATATATGAAAATAACCTCTGTTCTGATTGGCTGCTCTGTATTGTGGGGCACCCAAAAAGCAGTCTGGGGTGAACCACTCCTAAGCTTAATAGGTGGATATTTGTAACTGTGTCACAAAACCAATAAGTGCGTTTATGCACTTAATATTCCGATAACTAGAGAAAATCAGATTTTGTCAGTAATCTGATCAACACATTTACATGCAATTGAGTAATCAGATAACAGGAAAACTCCAGGTCTACATGAGTCAGACAGTAATCAGATTTCTATTTCGCAACCAGCCAAAAAACTCATAGAAGAAGACGTGACACAAACGTAACGTAAAATGAAATCTTATGCTGCGGGTTCTTTTTGTTTTGTTTTTTTAAAGCATCGTGCCACTTAACCTGACAATATGAACATACGTCATTTAAAAGATGAGAATTATTTAAATCCCTCATTTTCTCGAGAATGTAGTTGGTTCCAGTGTCGCTCCAAAAGTGTTTTGCTGCGTCTTGCGGCAACACTGCTTGCTTATTTTCCCTTACAACACTCTGTTCCGCACATGTGCAGACCGAGAAATCCGAAAGAAATCAGAGTAAGAGTTTATATGCACTGAGAAATCTGATTACTGAGCATTTGAAGAATCAGGTAAGTGCAGACATCTGATTATGATCAGATTATTGAGTGCATGTAAACACACTCAATGAATTCAAAGAGTTTCCCTATATGGTCTCTATGGACTGGGGAGTCAAAGGAATGTTTTAAAACATTAACAATGTTTACATACGACATCAAACTTTTTTATTTCAAAAAAGCAAAATCCACATTTACATGATATGGGTCCTTTAACTCTGAATTGTCCCTAAATAGCCTAAAACAATCTTATAAACACAAAGAATAAGCACAGCACATTTAAGCTGCCTTATTGTGGTTACATATTATCATCCTAAATTATTTTTACTAACATTTCCCAGACTTTAAAGTTTTAAGAAATAGTTTTAAGTGACATTAATCTGTCATGTGTGTAATCTTGCTCAATATTTGTGCTAAATAAAACTCTATCATCTGTATGTGATGGAATGAACCTGGCATAACAGGGCCATTAATAGTCCTCAGGCAGTTTTTCAGTTCCTTGAAAGTATTGTTTTTTTTTTTTTGAAATGCAACAAAAGAAGGTCACAGAATGAGACAGCAAAATTGCTAATGTAGCAATGCAACACTCTCCAACTGTACAACTATTTTTATCTCTTGGTAAAGCCATCTTATAACCCTGGAACTATTGTACTGCTCAGCAAATGTTCAAATGTTGGGTAACACTGTATACCTCACTACTTTCCACTGCAGCCTCTTCAACGTGTCTTAAAAGTAAGAAAACTTTTTGGACTCGCTGGACTGTTCCTTTGAGAGCATTAAACATTAACACCATCTTTTAGTAAATCATTTAAACTTGTTTTCGTGTCCTTCTTTTCAGCGTATTACCATGAATGTTTAATTACATAATTTCAAAAGCTGAAGACATAATTGCATATCCATATTTGTAGCTTCCTTTATCTGGCAAGGGCTTTCTCATTCAGCCTCATCACCATGCCTGCAGCTTGGGTGCACACATTTGAAGCTATGATAAAAAAAATGAATAGTCTCTTTATTTTAAACTCGTTTTCCTGCCTTCACCAGAGAGCACTAGAACTGGATAAAATAAACGGAAACACTTTTGCAAAGCTCTCCACGGTATGTATGCAAATTTTCTTAAATATATATCTATCATATGTTGTTTCACCATTTCCTCTTTATATTCAAATGAGATTTATATCTTTGTGATTTCTAACCTTAATCTTAACTCTTAATCCATTTTTCCACACAAATCTCTCAAGCTATCCATCAACCTGTGGAACGGAGCTTTGATGTTTTATGTAAAGCGGGTGTAAAAGCTGCGTGCTTATTGCTCTGTGGCACTGGGTGATAAATCAGGCAGTGTGTGCCACCGGCTGCTATTAACCCATACTGATGAATACTCACGGGCACGCTTATCCCAAAAGCGTGATGGATATATGTTTGTGTGTGCGTGTGTGTGTGTGTGTGTGTGTGTGTGTGTGTGTGTGTGTGTGTGTGTGTGGATGTGCTAGAAGACAGCAAAAAACAGCCAGTGAATCTGAATAGTAGTAGGCTGGCTTGGTCATGGAACAGACTTTGGTGCCTAGTCAGATTTGTCTTTTCTATCAGCTTTCTTTGTTTAAACATTAAGATTTTGTTCATTTAAGAGATTGTGAAGACCCATCAGCAAGACACTCAAGCCTTAAACAATCAAAGAGTGCATAGCTAACTCAAAAAACATAATACTGTGACTAACGCTTAGTATGTTATTGACCCTCCCTTATATAAATCTAAAATACTAATACAATAATATTAACGCTAATATAAAAGAAATACTAACACTAATATATACTGAATTTTGTAGGAGAAGACATAGTCAAAGGTCAGCACGAGTTTGTTAATACAGAATAAATTAAGCAGCTACACATTCCTCTGAAGCTGTATCATGTCTAAAACTGGATTTATAAAATGAATTTGTGGAAATTATGTGAGTCAGCATGAACTATATCATAAGAACTATGTCCTGGTGTTGAATTACATTTAAATCGGCATGGTGACTGATACCTCTACAAAAGCAAGCCGTTCTGGCTAAAATTACTTTCTTTGAGAACATGACACTAATAGTAATAGTAACAGTAAACAAATAGTAAAATACAAATAGTAAAATACAAATAATTACATAACTATTTAAACAAGAATATGAAAATAAACAGATGAAACATATAATTATAAAACATTTCACATTCATCAAATTATTTTAAAATGTCAAACAGTGAATATTTAAATGGAATATTAAAAAGAGAAATAAAAGCAGAAGACTGTATCCAAGTGCCAAAATTTCTATCACCAAGAGTATAAATAACATCTGTTTAACTGCAGGATGTGCATCACATTGTATTAGAAAGTGTCTCTGAAGCCAACTTACCTTTTTCCCTGATGGACCCGTTCCCTGGAGGCCCTCCCTGGACGCCTTTCAATTTCTCCAACACCCCTTCTAGGCTGTCGCCCGGAGCTGGTGTGTGCAGAAATGAAGCAGCGTGCAGAAGGCTGGATGCCAGAGGGACTGTCTGTTCCGATATGCCTCTGAGGGAGGGAGTAAAGTGAGGGAAAGATGGAGTGATGGAGGGAGGGAGGGAGGCAGAGAGAGAGAGAGAGAGAGAGAGAGAGAGAGAGAGAAAGAGAGAGAAAGAGAGAGAGAGAGGCAGAAAAAAGGAGGGAGGGGCAAGGGAAAGATGTTCATTGAGCCCCAGTGAGTTGCTGTAATAGCAATAATGAAAAGTCACGAGAGAATCCACTAACCTTTTGGAGTTGACACTATTAGCTTTGTCAGACACATGTGATTTTGCTTCTATCCCCTGAATTTGTTTTGTTCTTTTAGTCGGCACCTGGTAATCAAAATACAACATTTATTATAATAACTGCGGACACTGAATGACAACTATCTTTAAAATAATTTTTGTGGATGTGGTAGGTCTAAGTTCTAGTCTGAGATTACTTACGCAGTTTGGGGGAACAACAAAATGATTTAGGCATTTAATCATGTTTGCTCTTTATTAGCCTAATTAGTGAGCACTGAATTTCCATTGCTTAGGTACCTTAGCTTTGCAGCTCCAGTGCAAAACTGAAGAGGCAAACTTCAGACACCAAACATGCCCTGGCTGATTGACTACATTCAGGGTAAGGGGAAAATTGTGTAAACTAGATTTTTCCTGCACTGTCGCTTTAAGTCTTTTGTAAGTTCAGTTCTCACATTATAGTTACCGAGGCTCATTAACTCTGAGAGTGAACGATGAATGCGTTTAGCTGATGACTTTATTCACCTCTCTGCAACTGTGAAGCAGTGGGAGTCGAAGCAGTGGGGGAAACTGGAGGTTAATCTCTGCTGCCCTCATAAACTCTGCTAAGAGCGGCCAGGTGGAGGGATGATGACACTGCTGCAGCAGGATTGGCAGGAACTTGGCCTTGGCTTGGCGAGGATGTGAACCCTACTCCCGCTGGTGTCAGATTGAAATGGCACGGTGCCCAGGCTCATTACCAGCCTGATTAACCACTGTAATTAACCGATATTAAAGAGAGAGGGAGCCGCTGGTGCTTGCCGAGCCTGCTGATCAGCACCCATGCAGAACCGTCGTTTCACAGCCCAGCTGTCCATATCACTTAGCCCATCACAATACACGCTGGTGGGGATAAATGCTACAGGCTAAAATAAGAAGGGAACAATAGGGAACATGGGTCAACGACTACTAATTGTGGTAGGCAATTAAAAGTCCATTTCAGCCAGCTAATCTCTTTAAAAGCCTAGTCACACATATTACTGGGGGTGTAAGTTGAAATATGTTTCCAAGCCCTGAAATGTAATATTTGATACAAACACTCTGTTGAAAATTCTGGCCCTAGTAAAATGCCATGGAACTGAAAAAAAAAAATCTTTCTGTGAATGAAACTTATTCAAAAACATCAGATTTGGAGCCGTACAATGACAGCAGAGTCTTTGGTGCAACTCAAAGTGGCTGTTATCTTACTCATTAGTGGCATTACAATGGCTTCACATCATGAAACTTTCAGTCAAATGTAACCCCACAGTACACCCTCATACATCTTTACTCAGCCGAATACAAGTCTGTTTGCTTAAAAAAGTTTGACAGCAATAAAAGTAAAGAATAAGTAAGACTGCAGGCACACACATAATGTCAATGTTTTGCTGTAAGATGCTGAGCCTGTTCTTCATTCCTGATGATTCATGGTAGACATGCATATAATGATGTGTTAATAAACTAAAGATAAATGCAGCTTTTGGGATGTCATCTATACTCATGTTACAAAGATTATTTAAAAGCTCAGTAGGTTATAATAGCTACGAAATTCAGAGAACTTAAGTTGGTGCTACAGTTTCACTGATATTAATGTTCCCCATCTATGACTTATAGGCCCAAAATAAAACACATGTTTGTCAGATATTTCATGTCCTATGTGGCCTCTGTCCGGTTAAGTTAGCTAGCTAGCTACTTTACTTCAAAAATCAGTTGTTCGTTATGGAACAACGCTAGGATAGCTGGCTAGCGTTAGCTATTCTGACAAGGAGTCAACTGAAGTAACGTTACCACGATATATTAACGTAATCTCATTGTCGACATTACCTAAATACATACGTTTGTCTATATTTTCTCAGTATGTTACACATAAAAAGTGCTAAAAAAGAATTAACGTCAAGCTATCTTCATTCGTGGCGGTTCGCACGACCGTTGGACCGGGCTAACTATGAGTAATTGGGAGTCGAGCCCAAAAGAATCGACTCTTCGACTCCAAGGCGGCTGGGAGTCGGGGATCGAAAATGAGTCGAAATGCTTGGAGTCGACTCCGTGTTTTGTTCGTCGTCACGAGTGTAAAGCAGGTGCAAGTCTAGAGCTGCGTCCAAAACCACATTCTGCAGTACTAAACAGTATTAAACTAGTCAAAACTGGTACACCACTATTAGAAGATAATTCATTAATTTAGTATGTATACTATTATACAACAGTTAATTCCGGCAACGCAAGCTGATTGGTTGAGAAGCGTTCTAACCGTGCTGATATTTCGCCATAACATCACGGGTTTTTCACGAACACTGTATCACTCCGCTGAGACGCCGTTGCTAAGCAACGAGTTTGACGAGTAGACGCTCAAGCCATTTGAACGTTTTCACTTCTTACTTTGCGAACAAACAGAAAATGGACACTTTTAAGATCACATTTGACCAACGGCCGATTTGGTCAGACTCTGAAGATGAGACTACACTCAATTCCCAAACTGTCATCACCACTGAGCAGCTTTTCAGTCGGCAGCTGTGACAGAAGAACAGCTAAACAACCTGGAATCAGCCAGAAATGAGCCCAGTACCATTCGCCAAACGTGTAGTCTGATCTTCAGAGTCTGACCAAATCGGACTGAATTAAAAAACAAAAAAGCTGCTCAGTGGTGATGACAGTTTGGGAATTTAGTGTAAGAAGCTGGAGAACGAACTGCTGGCTGTACAGCGAGTGAGCGGAGCTCGTTACTCTGACGTAGCAACAAGCTGCTCGTTAAGGAACTATAATTTGGCGGAAGGAACTGCGAACATTAAAACATATTAAACGCCGCGTTCACGGCCCAGTTTATTGATTTATTACTTTATTTATTTAACTATTGTGTAAAAGCAATAGCACACTCGAGGTCCTGTCTTATCGTGTGATAACACACTCCCTCTCGTGTTCTATTGCTTAATTATGCAGTTTTAGAATTGTGGAGTAATTGCTAACTTTTAACAACGCGAACGCTGCTCACGAACTGCTGTAACTTCAGCACAAAACCCTTTTCGACATGCCTGCCTCTACCCTACACCGCTCTGCACCCTGTCTACATTTTCTCGAATTGTTTCCATGGTTAGTGTTGCAATAAACAATTATTAGAAAACCAAAAACAATATTTTTCACAGAACGCTGCGGAAAGCAGAATAATGCTGAGGCTGTTTTCCTATTTGCCTGCCACTTATCAAAATTTCAGTTCCACCTTAAATGGTGCTGCCTACGCACCCCTGAGGTAAATACTGCATCATTTAAGGTTGAATGAGCTGGCATGTGGCATCGTGATAAGAGGAACAAGATAACATCCAGCTACGGTGAATTGAAAACTCTGTTCCTTTCCAAAGAATTGAAAAAGAAAAATGAAAATGTTTATGTTCAAAGAATTATGACTTAAGTAATGATTTCCTCACTGCGAGTCCCCAGTATGTGGAGCTGGCTATCTGATGGTAAGATGTTTTAAAATCTACTTGATGCCACTTGGTGTAATGTACAGATTTTTTATCATATCATTGTAATCTGTAACTACTCTAAAAACTGTGAGAACTACGTTTATGATGGTTTAGTCTGTTCTGTCTCCCTTGTTTGTTTGTTTTTTACCATATCTGGAGCTGTTTTGGTTAAAATCAAGTCGAAGTCGAAGAGTCGACGCCATTGATTCCAGCGGGAGTCGGGAGTCGGAGTCGACTCAAGAAAACCCGGAATCGTGAATCACTCCGCGCGGATCAGTTGAGTTTCCGTTAAATTTTGAATTTGAAATGAGTGTGATTGTGCGCGCGGCCTGCAGCAGCGCAGTGGGAACATGCTAAGCTAAAATACATCTGCACTACAGAATCATTTTAAGTGCAGTAAAGACCACTGTAGTTGCGAGTCTGTGGCACCCTGTGGTAAATAAAAATGTTCAGAACCTGATACGTTTTGTTTTGTGTACAGTTTTCTCCCGAATATCACTGGATCCTCCAAATTACAAGGTCTTTAAAGAGACTTAATGCTAATATTGCTACATGCGAGCTAAAGCTACTGCGCATCAGTTTGATGCCACTAAGCTACATGAGACTAAGGCTGTGGAGGTACTTTATCAAAATGTCCTACTGTACTGCATATTTACAGGTATACCCATAAATAAAACCTCTAGGTAGGATATTCTGATAGGCTACATCTCCTTATCAAAAATACTACCCGTGTTCAAACTATGAGGCTGAATTTAGCTTCTTTTTTGCAATCTTCTTGGTTAAATGTTCCTGTTTCACCTTAAATGATGTAGCAGTTGTGATCGGCTATTACACACATTAGCAAACGGGACAAAACCTGTTGGTTCTGTGAAACAACAAAAATAAGTTAATGTTACCCAGCTGTCAAGCAGAAATAGAGAAATCTCCTCATATCATGCCTTTCAACTCTACATGAAGCTTGTTTTTCAACAGCTGCCTGTTCGAATTTTCTCGTTCCACCTTAAATGGTGCTGCAGTTCAGAATGTAAGTGCTGCATCATTTAAGGTGGAACAGGAAAATTTGAACAAGAAGCTGGCGAATGTCCTGAGAAAATGTTCTCAGAAAATGTTACCAGCATTAAAATAATAATTAGGATATTTTGAGAGCCTAAATCAGCTAATCAGGGGGTCAGCGGTGATATTAAGAGTCTGTACTGGATTAGCCTGAGTGCAGGTACGTTTGTAGATCTTTATGAATCACGCTGTGTATAGATCGGAAAGATCTGTCGTGTCTCAGTGAATATCAGATGA